CAAAATCTAAATTGTTTCATACTTTCAAGGATGATAATAATAAAATTTCAAGTTATAGAAACATTTTTCTCAATCACTTTGGTGAACATAAGGAGAAAAACAAAGCGTACTGTCAATAACCCTGATATAGCACTTACTAGCATAGTTGTACATGGTTGTGACCCCTTTGTCTACAACATTGATAGGTCATGTCCTTCTGCTAGATGTTTGTATGAAAAGAATGGAGCTGTCTTTAGAACACACCTTTGTTAGGAAAAAAGTGCATAGATTCAAGTTATAAAGTTCTCTTAAGTCATGTGATATACTGTGATGTTTTCTATTTTTTTTATTATTGTTGTTAATCCATATTGGTTTGATCCCATTAAAATGATTTCACAATTCACTAAATGGATAATGAATTTTGAAAGCATTATTTCCAAACATTAAGACTGTAAAATAAATTTTTTCACAGCAGTTTGCCAATCTCCAAAATGTTAAACATGTTCCTCTGGAAATAAATCAAGATTTTATCTTAGAAAAAGCAATTTCAAAATTCTAGCCACAAATGCAAAGTCCCACTTTGGGCGCATGTTTGGAAAGTAAAGTACTTACCATATAACATCCCACAAGGAAAGCGGCATTGGCTTGTTTTCGCTGATCAGAGCCAGTGAAATGAATGATTTTCTTCCTAATCATTGTAATGGACTAAACAAGAAATGAATAGCTATTAGTATTTTGTTTTTTATTTCAAGTTTACAAAACTTTTATTTTCTGATTTTTAAGATAAACTCCAAATATCATATTAGCAAAAACTTTTAAAAAGATTAACTTTGATCCCAAAGACTTTGGTGTAAACTATTATAACAGGAAAAATGAAACTGCTTCATTAAATAAATGCTATGTGTTCTTACAATTTTGGAAATGTCCAGTTAAGTATAATTCCATGTACCTTCCCATAAAAGACATATTCTGAGATTAAAATGAATTATTATTAAAGAAGAAAGATCACATAAACAAACGGGTATATGCTTAAAGTGTCGATTATCTCTGGAAGAATACACAATAAGATGAAAAGAGTGACCTTTTTTTTCCTTTGACTACTGTCTGATTTTCTAAAAAATCAATTCCAAAAAGCTTTAAATTAAAATAGAATTATATACACTCACTAAGATAGTACAAAAGCATAAAATAACACACACTGAAATTCTCATACATTGCTACTGGGAATGTGAAGAGGACCAACAGCTATGGGAAAAAGTTGGAGGGTCCTCAAAAAGCTAAAACACAGAATTACCATTTACCCATAAGAACGGAAAATCAGTATTCAAACAAAAACTTGTACATGAATACTCACAGCAGATAAAAGGTGTAAATAACACAAATGTTCATGAACTGATAAACTGACACACAAAAGTGTGATATATTCATACAATGGAATATTATTCAGCCATAAAAAAGAAGTACTGATAAATAACACAATGTGGATGAATATCAAAAACATTATAAGTAAAAGAATCCAGACACATTGTTTGACTTCATTAATATGAAATACCCAGAAGAGGCAAATTCACACAGCGAGACCAAAAGTATATTTGTGGTTGGTATGGGCTGAGGAGAGAGGGGAGTAACTGCTTAATAGGTACCAGGTTTTCCTTTTGGAGTGACAAAAATGTTTTGGAAATAGATAGCGGTGATGATTGTATAACACTGTGAATGTAACTGACTAACATTTTTTAAGGGTCAATTCTATGTAATATGAGTTTTACTATAAATAAACCAGTAGGTACAGGCCAAAATAATCCCGACTGTTAGAAGTCAAAGGGAGTCCTGGTGGCACTATGGAATAGACAACAAGGTTGGGGGTAAACCCATCATTCGCTCTGTAGGAACAAGATGAGGCTGTCTGCTCCCCTAAAGATTTAGAGTCTCAGAAAGTCTACACATGGTTGCTATGAGTCGGAACCTAATCAATGGCAGTGGGTTTCTTTGGTTGGTTAGAAGTCAGGGAAGAGAATAACCTTAGGGGAAGGTGTAGAAATAGTAACTGAAAGAAGACTTAAATGGGGCTCTTCTGAGGAGCTATTAATATGTTCTTGGTAATAATTACCTGTGAAAATTCACTGTGTAAACAATATACTACGGATTGGTACAAATTTCTATAGGTACATTATACTTCAGTAAAGTTAAAAATAAAAAGGATATGAAATTTAAAATTAAATGAATACAGAATTAATTAGCACCTGGCGCTGTGGGTTAATGCGCCAGACTGCAAAGCCATTTGAACTGCAAGGTTGGAGGTTCAAGCTCACCAGCTGCTCCTCGGAAACCCTATGGGTAAGAACCAACTCGATGGCACTTAACAACAACAACTTCATCAGCTGTACTTGATTAACTTCAGTAAAAAGAGATTTGGGCAAGGGTAAAGATCTGGGTATACACAGTTCAATAAGTATGTATGACTTTCTTGCCTTCTGCAAGTCAGGTCCGTGAATTTCCCATTAGTTGTTTACATGGAGTAAGAGATGTAAGTTGAAAATAAAACAGCCAAATAGCAGCACAGCCACTCCCCATTCAAATTTCGATACACTTTTGTCACTATTAATTGGACAGTAATTTTTCAATCAGGTTGGATTATCAATAACCACATTATAAAATTTTCCAGTAAATTAAAAAAAAAAAAAACATATAAATGGCTGAGTTAAATACAAATCTTTCAAAATTAAAGAAACAAAAGGGAGTATTGTCACTGTTTGATTCCTAGCTGTGGTTTTAGGCACTGGGCTGCTAACCTCAAAGTTGGTGATTCAAAGTCCATTCATGGGAGAAGGATGAGGCTGTCTGTTCCTATAGATTTACAGTCTTGGAAACCCTACAGCGGGTTGCTATGAGTCGGAACCAACTAGACCACAGTAACTGTGATTTTTGGTTGTACTTGTTAAGTGCAGTCAAATTGGTTCCGATTCATAGTAACGCAGTATAGGATTTCCAAGGAGTGGCTGGTGAGTTTGAACCACCAACCTTTGTGGATCAAACTGACCATGCAGTCCACGGCTTTATCCTACCCTGCCTTGGGAAATTTGGAAAAGAGAAGGAGGAAAAAACAAATACAGGAGGCCATAAATTTAAATTAAAAATTAAACTAAAATTTCAAAGAGTAGTAATGGTCAGAAAGAATAAATAAGTACAAGTCTGTAATTAATACAAATATGGCACAAAAATTATTTGAATAAAATACAAAACAGCAATATAAAGAATCAATAAAAAAAAAAAGCTGGTTATTTAACAGTATCAAAAACACTGACAAACTACTGGCCAAATTAACAAAGGAAAAATGTAAAGATGAAAATAACAGAAATAAGATATCAGATGGTTGACTTTACAACAGAACCAACTGCTATTAAAAGGGCTATCATAGGATATTATGAAAATTGTACTCTAACAACTCTGAAAACCTAGAAGAAATGGACAAATTTCTAGAAACACATTACGGTTCTAAACTAACTCAAACAGAAGTAGAAAACCTAAAAGATGTGTAACAAAAGAAAGTGAAGATGTTATTAAAAAATTACCCAATTAAAAAAAAAGATAATGCCACAGTCCACTCAGGGCCATAGTCTGGAAAGATACCATGGTCAACTGGCATAAAGACAGTGTTCTATACTTTATTTTGGTGAGTAGCAATTGGGATCTTAAAAGCTCATAAGTGGGCAAGCAATCAAGTCCCTTCAGGACAAACCCCCCCTCCAAGACTGAAACTCAAAGGGAACACATGAGCAGGCATGTAAGCTTGCTGACGACCATATTGGTCAACTGGTTAGTGGAAGAGGGGGAAAGGCAGCAATGAAGAAATGGCAAAGTGTGGTGAGACCTGGGGACACCTAAGCCCATGGACAAGGACATAGCCATGGAGGGCTAGAGCTGAGAGTGAAGCATCCAGCTGATATGAAATGAGAGGAATCACACAAGAACACTCAAAGTTGCAGATAGACCTAGCCACAATGGCTTGATAATCACAACTTGACGACAGGAAGATAAAAAAAAATTTTTTTTGATAAAGGAAATGAGGGTAAATTGCTACAATCTGATGAACTTGACGTATACTCATTGACGTAGCAGCTCAAAATACCAACAGAGAGGGAAGGAGTCTTCACATCAAGTATCAATCCTATTCCCTCTGTATACAGAGTAGACAGGAACGGGCAACTTAAGACACTGCGTACCTAAAATGAGGGGGCGATAAAGGCACCAAATAACTGGCTTACAAGTTTTCAAGAGGAAGTTTAGTTTCAGAGTGTGAAGGGGAAAATAAGAGTCCCCACTGAATAGTTTTCATCTTGTCTAGATGGGTCTGGCTAAAAGATGGGGGATAAGATTCTTATTATTCAATAGTGAGTAAATGTTATCATGACTAATTACGACTGTCAAAATTGCAAAGGTAGAAGTTTTGTCACAAAAATGGGTGAGCAGCTAACTTTACAATAGACAAACAATGTGGGACCCTATCCAGAGAAGCAGCGACACCAGAGATGGAGGCAGAGATGGGGACATGAAGAGAGGGAGCAACTGGGGACTCTAGATTCATGGAAAGAGAGGAACTGAGAGCTGGTGGCCAGAAGGCAGGCTTGCAAAATGTGCGACCTTTGGTGGTTTAAATTATTATATATGCCTGAGTGTTCAAAAAAGAAAAAGAGCTAAAATGAATAGAGAGAAATATGTTAACTTATGGTACATGGAGGGAATTATAATCATTGTAATGAAACAAAATATATAATTTTTAAAATGTAAAACTGATGAGCTGCCCTGCAAACTTGCACTCAATATACAATATAAACTTTTTTTTAAAAAGCCATAAGCAAGAGGAACAAACAAGATGGTGGATCGGGTAGACGTATAGCAGAGAGCTCCGCCAACAACAACACAGAATACCCTACCAAGCAGGTTCAGGCGATGGTCCCAGAACTCTGAACTACATATAAAGGAATATGTAGACGGTTAGAAGGCTCACAGCTGGGGGAATTTGTGGCAGAAGCAAGAAATCTATTGCGCTCTAGTCCAGGACACACGGTTGCTCCAGGAGCCGCCATCTTGGTTGAGACCAAGTGGGGAAAGGATTGGAGCGGCCACAGACGCCTGGCAGAACCGCTGAGATAAAGGTGTGGATATTCTTTTGTTTTGGTATCTGTTCATTGGTCCCTAGCTGTCTGCGCACCTCCATCCGGGTGACTATAGGGGTGCCTGAGCTAGTGGGCACCCCAACCCCACCCTTGGAGGATTCTACTTCACATGCGCACAGATCTCCTCAAAATTTAAAGAGACAGTTTCCAATTAAAACCAAACGGCCACAGCCAGCCCTGAACTGTTTCAACTAGAAAAAAGGACTGAACAGGGATTGTGGAGC